AGATAGAAAATTTTAATGGCCTATAATTAATTTTAAAACTCCCAGAAGAAGAACCTCCAGGCCCAGAAGGTTTCATTGGCTAATTCTACAAAACATTTAAAGAATTAACAACAGTTCTAAGCAACTTATTTCAGAAAATAGAAAAGGAGAAAACATGTCCTATTTCATTTTATGAAGCCAGTAGTTCCATAACAAACCAAAGACATTATTAAAAAATAACTACAGACAACTATTCCTTATGAATACAAACATAAGGACCCTTAAAATATTAGCAAATATAATTCTGCAATATATACAGAGGATTATACACCATGACCAAGTGGGGTTTCTTCCAGGGAAGTACGACTAGTTCAATATTTGAAAAGAAATCCATGTAGTCTACCATTTTAATAGGCTAAAGAAGAAAAATCATGTAATCATATCAATCAATGCAAAAAAAAAAAGCATCCGATAAATTTCAACATCCATTCATGATAAGAACTCTTAGAAATAGCGATAGAGGGAAACTTCCTCTACTTGATAAAGGACATGTACAAAAAACCCTACAGCCAATATGACACTTAATGGTGGAAGACTGAATGCCTTCTCCCTAAGCTCAGGACAAGGCAAGTATATCCACTCTCATCAAAGACCTCCAACTCTGCCCACCTCTCCCTGCTCCTTTCCCAGAAGCATTTCCCAGCTGCCTCTCTCCCTTTAAAACACACGAGTCCCCTCCCAGTTTTCCTGGAGCCAAGCATCAGAGTCACATGCCAAGAAAATGGAAAATAAATACCAAATGAATAGAATTCAACACTTGTTAATACCCTACCCCGTGCCTTCTAGTAAAGCTTTGCTGTAACTGTAGCCCATTTTTTAATGATAGGTTACTTTTAGGAAGCGAGATTTCGTTTATAAGGAGAAATCTAATATTGAACTACTATTCATACCCCAGGGCAAGAACTGCTTTCACTGCTGCTAATGCATCTTGCCTGACTGACTACCCTGAGAGCCAGCAAGTGAAGCCTCTTAGTAAATACAGGGGTCCCAAGAAAAGGACAGCGAGCTGTTATAATGACAGCAGCCTGTCTGCTCACCGGGAGGGGTTGATTAGGCTGACTGGCTCATGGTTTCCCATCTTCCGATAACACTTCAGGTGTTCTGTTTCCAAGCCTGGGAAATCATAGAGAGATCACATGGGCCTTGCACCAGAGTTCATCTACTTTACTCTAGCCCCGTGGTTGGCAAACTGCAGCTCAAAAGCCACATGTGGCTCTTTGGCCCCTTGAGTGTGGCTCTTCCTAAGCCTTAGGAGTACCCTAATTAAGTTAATAACAATGTACCTATCTATAGAGTTTAAGTTTAAAAAATTTGGCTCTCTAAAGAAATTTCAATTGTACTGTTGATATTTGGCTCTGTTGACTAATGAGTTTGCTGACCACTGCTCTAGCCCATAGTTTCACATTCAGTTCTCATAAACTTAGTTGGTTTCCAGTTCATGGCTGATCAGAAGGAATACATTTCATAGTCAGAAAAGCACTTCGTTCATTCAATTACCGTTAGTTGGGTGCCTAAGAAGTGCCAGGCACTTGGAGATAGGCACTGACCAATACACAGTGATCCCTATCCTCCCTAGCTTATGTAGAGGGGGTTCAGAGAGAAGAATAAATTAAAATTAAATAAAATAATTACAACATGTGACAGTGGCTGACAGGGCTATAAACATACCTGAAGTGCCCTGACCGGTTTGGCTCAGTGGCTAGAGTGTCGGCCTGCGGACTCAAGGGTCTCAGGTTCGATTCCAGTTAAGGGCATGTACCTTGGTTGCAGGCACATCCCCAGTACGGGTTGTGCAGGAGGCAGCTGATCAATGTTTCTAACTCTCTATCCCTCTCCCTTCCTCTCTGTAAAAAATCAATAAAATATGTTTTTTTTTTAAATAAAATAAACAGACCTGAGGAGCTTATACTTTCTCCAGATATGAAAAGCAATTTCCTTTCCAACACTGTTGAAATACAGAATTAAAAATTCAGCCCTACCTGGTCTGGCTCAGTGGGTAGAGCCTCAGCCTGTGGACTGAAGGATCCCAGGTTCCATTCAAGGGCACATGCCCTGGCTGCAGACTCGATCCCCAGTAGGGGGTGTGCAGGAAGCAGCCAGTCAATGATTCTCTCTCATCATTGATGTTTCTATTTCTCTATCTTTCTTCCTCTCTGAAATCAGTAACAATATATTTTTTAAAAATTCATAAAATTTATTGTCCCCGAATATACTCTAAAATTTATTTTTAAAAATAAAATCCCAGATGCTGGTGTGTTACTATCTCTATGTTAAAAACTGGATGCCATTCCACAATCCTTACTTAGTTCCACACTTGAGTTGCTTTAAGCAACTGTTGTAGACTCACCTAGGGCCTAGGCACAAAACTACCTTGTGGGAAATGTTTTGTTTTTAGGAAAGTGAAGTCGAGTCCAAACAAGCAACCAACAAATCAGTCAACCACTTAAACTGGAGACTGCCAAGATAAAACACGAATCTGGCTTTCTACAATGTTCAACTCCAACCAATCTGAGGTATGTTTAAAATTACATTATGAGAGGTACCTAATCTTTTCAAATACGCCAAACACAATGACCTAATGTTAAAACCTACTGACTAGCAGATACTGTTGACTGCAAATCTGACCCACACAGACAATAACCTGAATTTCCACCAAGGTCGCTGTAAGCACCAAATGATGGAGCCAAAATGCTTCCAGGCTTCATCTGGGCCTCAGGGGGAAAAACAGCTCTGAATGATCATTTTGGGAGAAACCCACATTTCTTACAATTCAGATGTAATTTCTTCACGTTTAACTCCAAGGCTTTTGTTAATTTGTTAATTTGCTTGACTCTCTGGATTTTTTCCTTACTATTGTACCTCTACTTCTTCCCATTTCATAAAGCCTCGCCTACATTAAGTTACTTCTGAAAGCTTCCGCCTGGCTTTTCCTTCTAAATACCTACCATTGTAAGTGGGGGAAGATGTGTAGTCCAGTCCTCTTGTCATATATTAGGAATAGGAAAGGAATGATCTCTCTTTTTAATAATCTCCAGAGAATTTTCCGTCAAATCCCTCCCTTCACCCACTCCTCTGTAACCCCCGGGAAATCCTTTCGTCTCCTGGGCATCACCTTCAAACCCTGCCATCAGCCTCTGTGACAACCGTGCTGCTCCTTTGTGTCCCATGGAGACCATCAGCCCCTGTGACAACCTGGCACGGGCCTGCACTCAGAATAAAAGTCAAGTCCCTATAAAGATCAGGCTCTGCATCATCTAAGCAGCCTGCCACCTCCTCAGCTCTCCAGCCCCCTCTCCTTCCACTCCTCCCTGCTCCCACCTTCACACTAAGGTCCTGCCTGGAGTGCTCCCTCCTCTCCGCGAGGGTCCTTCTCACACGTTACCTCCCTTAACCCTCCACCCGCCCATCCCACGTGAAACTGTCAACTTCCAACTCCCTACCCTCTAACACACTTTCTATTTAACTTGCTTTATTAACTATTATCCCTAATATAAGTTCTAAGAATTGTTAACGTAAAAAACCATTGAAACCTGTAAAGAATTTTTGTGAGTTTACTTGAGCCAAACTGTTGACATATGCCGGGAAGCAGAACCTCAACGAATTGAGATAATGCTCCGGAGAATGGCGGGGTTACATTTGTATTTATACATTTGCAATCAAGGGAGGGACAGAGGTGGGTTACATGAAATCCATTGGTGATAGATTAAGGAGGAGGGATAAAGCAAAGCAGGCGAAACCCCTGGGATTGGATGAAAAGTAAAATGATGGACACATACTTAGGTGGGTGCAGGATCAAGTAACATGATAATGAAGGACTTTGTGGTATCTGTCCTGGGGCCCAGCACTTTAGGTTATGCCAAGTTACAAGTTACCCAGACAAGTTACAAGTTACCCAGACATAGATGCAAAAAGACAGATAGGTTCAGTTAAGGTAAAGGTTGATCTTGTCAGTGAAGTTACCAGCCTAGGACGTAACTGCCCACCATAACTGCTTTTAGTTAAAGTTTAATTTCAGACCGTCCTTTGTGGTGACTTTAGGCCTCTGAGTTTGCAAGACTGCCATGCAGGCCTCCCCTGAGCCTGTCAGGTCAGCATGTGGCCCCTTTCGTCCACAGGATGCAAGAAATTATGTGGGGTTTTTTTTTCACTGCTGTATCCCGAGGGCCAGGAAGGTGCAAGTTACCTGACAAGAGCCGAGTAAATATTTGTCAATGAATGCAAGTGTCATCCACGTAAGAGATATGTGCTGGACACCAGGCCGGGGCCACGTTTGTTAAAGTCAAGGTAAGTAAGACACTGTCCCTGCCTTTAATGCACTAGAATCAGTGGTTCTCAACCTTCTGGCCCTTTAAATACAGTTCCTCATGTTGTGACCCAACCATAACATTATTTTTGTTGCTACTTCATAACTGTAATGTTGCTACTGTTATGAATAGTAATGTAAATATCTGTTATGCAGGATGGTCTTAGGCGACCCCTGTGAAAGGGTCGTTCGACCGCCAAAGGGGTCGAGACCCACAGGTTGAGAACCGCTGGACTAGATGGAGAAATGCACCACAAACAAAAATGTGCGACCCAGAGCTGCACACTAAGGCAACGGGAAGGCGTGCCAAATGCTCAGAGGACGAAGCCTCGGCCTCGCTTTCCCGGGGACCGGCTCAGCCACCCACCGGCTCAGCCACCCCAGGGCGCGCCCCTCCAGGCCGCTCCTCTAGGTTCCTGAGATGAGCAGAAGCCCCTCGCCCGCCCCACGCCTGAGAGGTTCCTCAGCCAGAGGAGCAACTTCCGGCCTGCTCGCGCCCGCCGGACACGGGATCAGTGAAACATGTTTAACAGGCTCTGCTCTTCAGCCTCCAAGCCTCTCCTCTGCCCTGCGGGTCACTCCCCCGCAGGCTGGGGCTGCACCCCGGTCGGACCACAGCACCCGCTCCCTGATGCGCGCCCTACTTCCGCGGTCCCACCTGCTCCCGGAGTTCCCTTCGGCTCCCGTCCGCGCGTGCGCGAGCAGACCCACGTGAGCTCGGGTGAGGCGGGCGGCGGGCGGCGGGCGGTGCCGCAGAGGATGGCCACGCCCTCGCGCAGAGCTGGCTTCTGATTGGCTGCCGCTCGCTCGCCCGAGCCCCGCTGGGGAGGCCTGCGACTGCGCCTCTAAAGGCGCTGCCAGACGGCTCTTGCGCTACTTCTCCCAGCTCCTCGCCGCGTCCGCCAGCTCCTGAGTCCTTGCACCTACCCGCCGGCATGTCTCAGGTAGGACACGTGCGGGGCTGCGAAAGGGCAGCGGGGCGGGCAGCCGGCGTGGGGACCACCCCGCAGGCAGAACCCTGGAAGGTCTTTCTCTTCCCGGCTCCGTTCTGCCTCCTGGACCCGTGCCCAACCCTGACCCTTTGGACAGAGCCTTGATAGCGGAACTTTCGGTTTGGGGCTCCCTACACCGCCATCCACCCTGCAACTGCTGGCAAGTTGCCCATCGAGTGGACTTCGCGGTGAAGCAGGGATAGGGATCGGAGGCGAGGGTCCGAGGTAGAAAGAGGAGAGGAAGAGGGTTGCATGGCTGGAAGGAGAAGGGGACCGAGTCCCCCATCCGGAAGGACAGGACATGAGTAAGGGCGGAGAAGGGAAGCAAGGAGACCGTGGCTGAGAGCTTGGAGGTCAGAAGTAGGGGCCGAGTGTCCGTGCGGCCGGGGGAGGGTGCGCCGGAGGAGAGGCGACCCCCGAGGCCTTCCCCTCCCTTGAATGTAGCCGCTTTTCCGAGACCGAGCTGTGCTGGGCGACCTTTGGCTCCTCTCCTCTCTCTCTCTCTCTCTCTCTCTCTCTCTCTCTCTCTCTCTCTCTCTCTCTCCCTCCAGTCCGGCACTGGGACAGAGGTTGGCGCTGGACGCCCCAAACTCGGGGGAAGGGGGCCAACTGACTCAGGCCCTGACCCTGCTGTACTCATGCCCTGTCCCCTTTTCAGCTCTTTTAGCCACCCCTGTCCCCAGGTCAGGGCTTCACTGGGACCTCAGCCATCCCCAGGGCTACCCGGTATTGCCCAGGCAGGTGGCCATGCGCCTTTCCTGCCGAGTACACTCCCGCTGCAGGCAGTCTTAGCCTTCTCCTTCCCACGCTGTTTCCAGTACCTGACACCCGGTGAATGAGAGCTTTCTTAATGTAGTTGTCAAATAAGGGAGCCTGTGAGCCACCTCTTTATTTTGCTGGATCTTTCTAGCTGTCCGGTTGTGGGGAGGAGGGGACACACTTGCGAGGGCGCTGCTTTCCCTCACCTGCATTACAGGAGTGCTGCCTCTGCAACTCCTCCATCCCGTTACCGAGCTCCATTCAGGCCTCTCCTCTCCCTCGCATTTAGGCTGAGTTTGACAAAGCTGCCGAGGATGTTAAGAACCTCAAGACCAAGCCAGCAGACGATGAGATGCTGTTCATCTACAGCCGCTACAAACAGGCGACTGTGGGTGACGTAAATACAGGTATGCTGAGACGAAGGGGGGCGGGCCCCTGTTCATCCAAGCGGACTCAGCAGCCTCGATGGGTGCTGGGACTCTTAATCTGTGGGAACCTCGCTCAAAACCTTCTGAACGCTTTGGGTGGGATGGTAATTTTTATGACGTTCCTGGGGTGTAAGCCGGGAGAGGTTCCCTGAGATCATGTTCCTGGATTGGGTGTACAGACCCTGCACTGTTCTTGGTTCTTGGTAGGTCAGGTAGAGAATTCAAATCCTAGACTTTACTGATCATCAAGAGCATTTCCCATCTTCTTGGGCGGTGGTGAAGGCCCCCAGCTTGGAAGAGACTTGCTCAACTCTCAGCTCACTAGTAGCTTTGTTGAAGCATAGTGCTTCCACCCTAAACGGGCAAGATCAAAGTCTCCGCGCACTTGGCAGGGGACCAAGCCTAAATCAGGAGCAGAGAAGCAGCTGGCTTCCTGGGACAGGTCAGAGCCTTTTTGCTGAAACATTTCCTGGTGACCATTCCCTGTTGAAAAGTCTTAGTACAGATTTTGAGGCCATAGTTTGAATTAACGTATTCCATAGTACTGCCTTTCCTGCCTCGGCCAGTTTTTATTCTGCCCCCAAAGTCCCTGATTCTCAGGTGTATACTTTGCTCTCAGGAAAAATCTCCCACAGATCAATAAGAAATAGACTAATAATTCGGGGGGGAAATGGTGCAACGGTATGAACATACAGTTCACAAAAAAGGACACTCAGAAAACTAAACAGTAATGCATGAGGCAGAGAAATGGGTTAGGCAGTGGCATGATTCAGTCCACGCAAGGACTCGGAGGTGGTGGCCATGGCACCACAAAATGAGGTTACCCCCTCCCCTCTCTGATCAGGAGGGTGAGTGGGCCCCCAGTTCCACTGCAGTTGGGTTGGAGGTGGAGCAGGTGGGCTGGCTGCGAGCCTGCTGGATGCCGAAGTGCCCAGAGGTAGGGATCTGGTGCAATGCCAAATCGAACATGGGTTCCCAGGGAGGGCTGAGTTGAGAAAGGTCTCGTGGTGGAGGTGAGCTTTATGCTGGGTTTATAAGCTGTGTCCTCCTGGGAAGGGGCTGGAGAGATGAAGTGGGGGTGGCTAGAGCCGCCAAGATACTCTTCGGCCAAGCAGTGTTTTCACAGAGACTGGGCCTGCCCTGCTTTCACGTGAGGGCAGATAGGCTGGCTTGGGAATATGTAACTTCCCGGTCAGGGAGTTATCAGCACACTCTCAGGTTTCACAGTCCAGTACAGTAGCCACTAGCCACACATGGCTATCGAAATTTAAACGGAAGATAGTTCAAATTAAGTAGAATCAAAAGTTCAGTCTTCAGTCGCACAAGCCACTATTCCAGGAGCTCAAGTGACACAAGTGACAAGTTGGACGGTGCAAATGTACAGCATTTCCATCATCACAAAAGGGCCGCTGGGGGGGTGCTGCTCTAGAATTCAGTTGATGACTGCAGGTGCAGTTCCTCCCAGGTACCTCCGGGAATGCTTCCCAGAAAGCACTTAGGAAGGCGTGATGTTCCTCTGGCACAGGGTCCAGGCTGTGGGCGCCATGGTTGCTCCCCTTGGCTTGGTTCTCTGCGTGGCAGGGAATAGGTCAGCAGGGAACTCGTGAGTGTGTTTCCCAAGTGCAACTGCTAAGTCTGTAAGCATAAAATCATGGTCTGACTTAAACGTTGCTCTCAGGAAAAATCTCCCACAAATCAACAAGAAATAGACTAACAATTTGGTGGAAAAATGGGGCAAGGGTATGAACATGCAGCCCACAGAGAAGGACACTCAGAAAACTAAACAGTAATGCATGAGACAGAAATGAGGTGGGAAGGAAACTTCACAGTATTTTTTAAAGTGCAGTTTTTAAAAGGAGACGTTTGGGAGTTACTTAACTTTGAAGACAAGGACCCTCTAGTAATGGGAGCAGTTGCCCTTGTACTCTCTCTGGATTTTAAGTTTGTATTTCTGTACACTGTTCTGGGCCGTTTACCTTCATGACAGTGTAGAAGGGATCGGTGTGATAAAGATGCCTTTCATGGCAAGAAAGCTGATAAAGTTTTCCTTTGGAACTGGAAGCAGGTCTAATGTCTTTCCTTTTCTTGTTGAAGAACGGCCTGGGATGTTGGACCTCAAAGGCAAGGCCAAGTGGGATGCCTGGAATGAGCTGAAAGGTAATTGTTCTCATCCCTTTCCCTCATTTGTGAAGCCCAGTAATGAAATACTGATGATGGGCGTGCAAGGGGTGAGGAGGGAAAACAGTGGGTGAGGCCTGGGCTGGACACAGCTTGACCTGTGTCAGAATGGAAAAAAACTGGGCCACCTACTTTTTCTCTTAATACCAGTAATGCCTTCTCCAAAAGCACCATCTCCAAGTCGTGGTGTCATCTGGAGAGGAGGGACAGGGGCCAGGCCACTGAGAAACAGATTAGCAGGCGATATAGTTGGCGAAGGCTTTATATATACTCAGAATTAGGGGAGGTTTGCTGCCCACAACTCCTCTCCCCCACAAGGCCAGGCAGTGACCCCGTAGCCCAGGCAGCCCTCCCCAGTTCCCTTCCAGCCAGAAAGGCACAAAAAAGAAAGGAATGAGCTAATGCATGGCAAGCCTCTGGCTCTCGTAGGCTCAGTGAATGGAGCTATTCTACGCTAAGCAACAGCAGCCAAGTGTCCCAGCTCCGACTTAATCACGTGCCACCTGCACTAGCAAGACTTAAAAGTTGGCACTAACGTGCCTGCCAGCTTTTTTGTTCTTGTAGCTAGCTTCTGAATAAGCCCTCTGTCTCCCTGCAAATGAGAAACACTTGAACTCAAAAAGGACCAGAATACAATAAAAACACTCCTGGGATTTGAAGTAACTGGAACAGGAATGCCCGTCCGACTGTCCATTTCCATGGGCATTTCCATGCCATCCTCAGGCCCCACACACTCAGTGCTTCAGACATGCTCCGATTTCCAGCAGGTCTCTCTCCTTCACGTGGATCCGGGAAAGTAGGTGTTACTGTCTCTGAGGAATATACTAGCATAGTCGGTGTCTCTTACACAGCAGCAAGAAGGCAAAAACTGCCCTCATCCCCCTCCAAGAGCCAGCTGCTTTTGCTCAGAGTTCTCAAAACTTTTCTCGTAGCTTCTCTCTGGGGAGAAAAGGGTGCTTGGCTTTGCTGTTTCACCACCAGCTTAACAGCTCTGGGAGTTAAGAGCCCAACAGAGAAATACTTGATAGGCCAAAGCAAACCTGGAAGTCAGCAGGCCCCGTAAGGCCACTGCGGCTCCCCAGGTGCGGCTCTCCTGCCTGTCTGGAGGGCCCCGCCTTTCCCCAAGGCTCAGACTAACCCCTTACAACAGTGGGGGACTCACAAGGCCAGCAGGCCATTGGCAGGCCTCAGGACAGCCACGCACACATTGGTTCAGTGCTTTATGGAGCGTTGAGCATTCTCTGTGGGCCTGGCTTCTCGAGTTCTTCGTCAGATCCCGGCCAGGTCTCCGAGGTGTAGGGAGTAGGGCCCCCCTTTGCAGGTGAGAAACTGAGCCTCGGAGTGTTAAACCAGAGCTGTCAGGGGCTCAGGCTGCGCTCAACTTCCATGCTGCCTCTGACAGACAATCTGTTGATTCCTTACAGGGACGTCCAAGGAAGATGCCATGAAAGCGTACGTCAACAAAGTAGAAGAACTAAAGAAAAAATACGGAATGTAGGGACTGGGTTTGGCTGCCAGCCACGCATGTCATCTAAACTGATAATCATGCCTTGTTTTTCTAATACCACGGATGAAGTGAAATAATGAAGTTAACCTTCTTCCTGAACACTGTCCAGGATACGGCTCTAACATTAGGAGCGGAAATGGTTACTCACCTTGCGGAGTAGTTTTTATCTATAGACCAATTAAAACTGCATTTGTTACTTAAGTCTTTGGTAATCTGGTTCCTTGAAATAATTTACACTTCCAATCTCACTTTCTTTTTCTAAAGCTTTTGTCTGGAAGTGTTTGAGCTCTGTCCTGTCCCTGGTCCTCTGCCAGGAGTGAGGCAGGCAGTTCCACCTGTTCCAGGCCCAGAGTGCACTCACCTCCTGCGGGGAGGCGGACGGCTATAGGAGTGGCCTTTCCCACCTCGTATCCCTCCCAGTTCCAGCGCACCCTTCGGGGGCCTGGCAGAGGCTTCAGTCTGCAGGTACTTCAGCCCCTGTTGGGAACATTGCTAGCCTCCTGCTCGGATGAAGGCAGGGTTGACAGGTGTTTGAGGTATGTCTCAGGTCCAACCAGTCCTCAGTTCCAGAGCCAGTGAGCAAGGAATGACATGTGCACCTGCCACGGGCATTCCCGAAGGCCCAGGGGAAGCTTGGCCACAGGCAGCTGGGCAGGCAAAAATGAGCAGGGGAAGGGAGATCGGGACCTGGGGGATGGGGTGGGCAAGGTTAGGCTTCAGAGAAGAAAGACTAGAGCTTGACCCTGGAAGATGTAGGTTGTTGAAAAGCAAAAAAAAAAAATAAAAAGAAGGAAAAGCGAGAGCTGTCAGCTGTCAGACCCTCCTTGCAGGGTGTTCCCCTTCAGTCGCCGCAGTCCTGCCCGGGAGATGAGGTTTCCCATTTTGCAGGTGATGATGTTGGGGCTGACGGGGATTGAGGAGAAACTCTGAGACCAGGCAGCAGTCAGTGCTCTCCAAAGCCTGTGCCCTGCCTTAGACACAGTTCAGCCTCACCTCAGAAGAACAGGCCTTGGCGTTAGAGTGACTTGCCCAAGATCACTCCGCTGGTGAATAAACTAAGAACCATCATTCAAGTGCAGGTCGTGGTTCAGATGCCAGCACCCCAGGTGGCCTCAGGCACAACCAACGCTGCAGTGGGAGAAGCGGGCAGCAAGGAGGGCACCAGTGTGGCTGTGGTGGGCATGCCTGCCATGTGAAATGTAAACACAGAATCTGACCGTAGGGGATGGGGCGCCATGGGGAGCACATGGTCAATAGCTATTGAGAACAGCGATTCTTCCAGTCCAGCCCAGCCTGCCCCTGGGAAACCAGGCCCGCAGCCCAGGGGTAGACCAGGGAAGGTTGCTCCAACGAAACAACGGGGTCACGGTCCAAAATCCCAACATGTGGCCCAAGTGAGGTGACATTCTGAGTAGCAGTGTCATCTATGTGGGAGACAGTCTTTCCCGGTGCTGATGTAACTGAGGGCGGATGAGGCAGGAAGCCTACAGTCCTCTCCACCCACCTCACAGGCACCAAGGGAGGCAGAAGGAGCCACAGCTACTCACCTGGACCCATACCTGGACCATCTCCATGGCTCGGGTATTGGCTGTTTCAGGAGTGAACCAAAGGATAAACAAACCTTAGATGAAGTCCAAGGCGTGGTTCTTGTCCAAACAGATCTGGCTCCAGGAGGCTGGTGCAGCTCCCCGGAGGGTGGAGGTGAGCATTAATGAGATGATGTGAGAAGCTCCTGGCATCGAGTGCATGCCCTGAGTGCCTCTTTATCGGGAATTTTTCCACCAGCTTTCAAATCAACTCTTGTCTCTGACACCATCGGAGTCACGGACCGAATCCAGGAACAAGTGATCTCTCCTTCGGTAACACTGCCCAGCTTTCTGCCCTATTTCCAGCCTGTGAAAGGCAGCCTGGCAGACGTGTGCTCAGGCCCTGTGTCACTGCCTCTGGGACAGAGTGGGAGGAGAATGGGCCTCCGCCTAAGGAAGCCCTGATACAGTCTGTCTGGTGCTCGGAGCCACACTGGGCTAAGGTTGTTGTGACGACTCAGCAGTTCTCTGTGGGTGCGATGGGAGAGAACCACTGTGGGAGGGAAAGGCTTAGACCCGAGGCCCATCTGCCACCTCTGGTGTGGCCTCTAATTAACGGCCATCATCTGCTGAGAAGCTGACGGGCCAGGCTCCCACTCGGGCTCTTTGATTTGGTTCTCGAATGCAATCCTTGCAGTGCCTGGAGGTGGCTCTGCTCCTCACTGCTGTGCAGTGGGGATTACTGTGCTCATTATTCACTTGAGGAAATTAAGGTTCTGGCGATGTGCGTGGGTCTAAACTCAGGGCTCTGGTCAGGCCCTGCTCGTCCCCTTCCATCATGTTCCTTCTAATGGCACTGGCTGCCCCTCAGCTCTGTACCTCCACTGTCACTCAGATGATAGGGTGACCCCCACCTCACTGGACTAGCGTAAGTTCCAGTGCAATAAATCCCTCGCCCGCTGCGCAACTCCTTCCAGAAGAGCGGCTTGGGAAAGCAGGTCACATCTCCACGCTGGTGTGGGACCCAGACGAGCCAGACTTCTGTAAGTACCGGAGGTGATTCTGAGGCATGGCCAGGTGAGAGGGCCCTCCCTCCCACTCGCTGTGAAGCCGTGGTACCAGTTTCTCAGAAAGTGATGCTGGGGTGGTGTTCTGAGAACACGCCCCCAGCAGCCTCAGGGCCAGGCCTGCTCCCCTGGCTTCTGCAGCTGTCCGTGCACAGCCCAGGGGTGTGTCCCACACAGGGTGTTATTTGGGAACACATGAAGCAATGGGAGTGGGGCACAGGCTTCCCCTCTCCTCATAACACGCCCACAGCGTACCAATGCCCATTGGTGACAGACTTAGCTGTGAATCCCACTTCAGCCTCTCAAGTGCTAAGTCACTACCTTCCTGGAGACACACTGCATGCGGACAATGGGCTGATAAGGTGGGGCAAGTGCTTAGCACAATACCTAGCAAACAGCAACTGGCTAGCAGCCTGGGGGTCTTTCCCAGCTGCATCCTCACCCTCCCCACCGCTTCACAAATCCTTCCCTGGGGCCCCGAAGTGCTGCTCCCCACCTTGGCAGTGCTCCAATAATTTGGGAGTCAGCCATGTAAGTAAGTGGGGGTTTTCCTAGGATGCTCTCCCCACACCAAAGTAGTTCCTAGGTCCAAAAGCCTGGGAACCAGTGACCACACAGGGACCACTCAGCTTGTGGGACTTGGGAAGGCCGCTGATTGCCCACTGCCCAGGGTAGAGACAGGAAGCGAGTTGTGTCACCTGTGTAAGTCTTGCTTTCTTCATCAGTAAAAGGGCTGGCCAGGAAGGTCATGTGTCCGGTGTAGATAAGAAGGAGAGCCACGGAGGGGGAGGAGAAGGCCCTGGGGAGGTTGGCTTGGCGGAAGTCAGGCTGGGAAGTTGTGCGGGGGTGGTTTGAGCAGCCGGATGAATACAGATTAACATTCAGTTGCAGGTATTTGAAGTTGAGGATGAGTCCAGAAGTACCCAGGAGGCAGGCTGCAGCGAAGCTGTGCCCTTGGGACTTGGGCCAGGGCAAGACAGCGCCTCTGCCCTTGGCCGCTCCCAGGGAAGAGAAGCTTGGAACTTTCTTCTCTTCTTTATGAATATGGTTGCAGATGATCCCTCTTCCGAAAGAACATCGGGTAACTAAGAACAGAGCAAAAAATAAGCAAAGCAGCTTTGGGATAGATAACTCAGGCGCCAGCAGCCTTGCCTGAAAGAGCTGTCTCCACAGGGGCAGAGCAGAGGCCCCTGCAGAGCGCTCCGGGCACTGCCCCTCTGCAATTCCCCTGCCTTGGATACAGCTCAGTCCTTGGGAGACCAGGACTTCGTAGACCCACAGCTTTTTCTAGGGTTTTGTGATTTTTTATATAAGTATTTTTACTAAGTAATGAATAAACATGAGCCTCCATTGCAAATATTTTCCTTTTTCTGTAAAAATCGCCCCATAAAGTTTTTCCAGGGAAATTGGTGAGGTATCAAACATGGCCCAGGACTCTGCACTTGCAGGGCGGGGGCGGGGGCGGTGTGACTTGTGGGGTCCCAGAATACCCTGCTGTAGTGGGTTGAATTGATATGTCCAAGTCCTAAGGCCCCACACACAATGCCATGTGAATGTGATCTTATTTGGAAATAGGATCTTTGCAGATATAATTAACATAAAATATCTCAAAATACAATCATTCTGAATGTAAGATGGACCCTCTTCCAATGAATGGTATCCCTATAAGAGAGAGGAGGGGTGGGATTGAGACACAGACACAGAGAAAAAGGCAGGTGGAGATGGGGCAGAGATGGACTCAGGCAGCAACGGGCCGCAGAAGGCCAAGGGCTATCACAGCAGAAACTACGACAGAGGCATGGAATGGATCCTCCCAGAAGGAACCAACCCCGCTGAGACCCTGAATCTGGACTCCTGGCACCCACAACAACATTTCTGTTGTTTTAAGTTACCCAGGTGATGTGATTTGCTGTGGCAGCACTAGGAAACGAATATGCCTGCTGACCCCTGTTACATATGTAACGCCATTGCCTGGGGGGCTTTGTTGTGAATAATTGATTAGGTTCATCTGTTAGAGACCAGGGGCCTTAAAGGTATGGGAATTAGCACAGTTTGGGTTGAAATCATAAGGAAGCTAGAGCTCAGGTTGCTGCCATGATGCCCGCACTGAGAAATCACCGCCAGCTCCAGGGCATCAGCATCCGGGGAAGGAGGGAGGGAGGGAGGGAGGGAGGGAGGAAGTGAGGGAGGAAGGGGCCCTGACCAGGTGGCTCAGTTGGTTGGAGCATTGTCCCCTACACCAAAAAATTTGGGGATTTGATTCCTGGTCAGGGCACAAACCTAGGTTGCCAGTTCAATCCCCAGTTGGGGTGCATACAGGAGGCAATTAGTCCATGTTTCTTTCTCACATCATTGTTTCTGTTTCTCTCTCTCTCTCTTTCTCTCTCTCTCTCTCTCCCTCCCGCAATCCCCCCTCCTTCCCTCTCAAATCAATAAACATATCCTCAGGTGAGGAAAAAAAAGGAAAAAAAAAAGAGGGGACTGAAAAATGGAAGGATTTGAGGGGCAGATTACCCGGGCCCTTAACACTATTTTGCCTAAGCATGGCCCTGAGGGATGCTGTCAATTCATCAGCATAAGTTTGAGTGGAAAGAGATGGGCTTTGCAG